GTCCTCACCTCCGCCATTCTGATAGCAGATGTAAGGGAACCTCCACACGTTCCCGAGATCCACTGCAAAGCCAACCACAGCCAGGAGGAATTCCACTTTCTTGCCCCACGTGTCTCGCTCTGGCTCTCCGTCTGTCCACTTCGCGCATTGCTGGGGGGTGGATGGAGAAGGTAGATGGGTTAGTGGAAGGGGGTGGTGGGGTTTTGTGGGTGGGAAGTGAGGGGGGGGGTTGTTAAGTGGAGTTGTTGGGGTTTTGGTAAGTGGAGTTGGGGGTTTTTGTTAAGTGGAGTTGTGGTTTTTGTTAAGTGGAGTTGTGGTTTTTGTGGAGTGGAGTTGTGGGGTTTTTGTTAGTGGAGTCGTATTGTTTGTTAGTGGAGTAGTATATATTGTTAGTGGAGTTGTATATTTTGCCAGTGGAGTTGCAGTTTTTGTTAGTGGAGTAGTGTTTTTTGTTAGTGGAGTTGTTAGTGGAGTAGTCTGAATGTTTGTGGAATGAGTAAAGGAACAGTTCTGTTATTTGTAAAAGTAGATTTGTTGTTAACAGCACTTACATCGTCAGTTATAAATATTCTTACTGTTAATAGAATTACTATATTTTTTAGTAGGCGAAGATATCATAGACGTAAAAAGAAATAAGAATGAGAGAGAAAAAAAATAATAACTCCACAGAAGTAAGGATACGGAAAATAATAGTAATAATAACACAGAGTAACAACCGAAACATTCCTCATTGCAAAAATATGCAATTGTCATCCCGATATTGCAACGCCAGAAGAACTGCATAATTAAATATACAATTTATCATAACATCAAATATACACCAAGCTATCTATCATTGTTTACTCTCCTTTAGAAAATCTGTCTGAGTTTTCTTCTGTATTTCAGTTTATTAGATTAATAGGTTTTTTTAATAGATTTTAATAGATTTTTTGATAGATTAATAGATTTTTTTATTATTATCTCTTAGTTACTTATTTCGTGATTTTCTTATTTCTTATTGTTTGTTAATTTTCTTGTTTCTCAATATTTTATTATTTACTTTATCGTTCTTATCGTTTATTGATTTTCTTATCTATCGATTTTTTTTTCTTATTAACTTACATTGTGTTTATTGTAATTTATATATATATATACATATATATATATATATATATATATATATATATATATATATATATATATATATATATATATATATATATATACATGTATTTAATTTCATAATTTCTTTTTTGTCATATTTGTTCTTATCTTCTTAATATTATCTATCGATTTTCTTATTCCATAATTTTTTTATCATTTTATTTTCATATCATCTTACTGCATTTATTGATTTTCCTATTTCATAATTTCTTTTATTATATTTTATTTTCCTAGTTTCTTATCTTCTTAATATTATTTACTGATTTTCTTATTTCCTCATTCTTTTATTTTTTTCATATTTGTTCGTCTTTTTCTTGATCTTCCTATTTGACAACTTATTTTATATTTCATTTTCATATTCGCTTATCATTTTAGTATTTTTTCTTATTTTTTCTATTTTATAATTCATTTTATATCTCATTTTCATATTCGTTTATCATCTTAATATTATTCAATGATTTTCCTATTTGAAAACCTCTTTTATATTTCATTTTCATATCTGCTTATTATCTTAATATTATTTCTTAATTTTTCTATTCTATAACTTATTTTATATTTCATTTTCATATCTGTTTATCATCTTAATATAATTCAATGATTTTCCTATTTGAAAACCTCTTTTATATTTCATTTTTATTATTCGCTTATCATCTTAACATCATTCAATGATTTTCCTATTTGAAAACCTCTTTTATATTTAATTTTCATATCTATTTATCATCTTAATATTATTCACTGATTTTCTTATTTTCAAACCTTCTTAATATCTCCTTAATATCATTCACTGCTTTTCTTGATTGTGTTAATGATTCTTGCGATGAATAGATCGCGTTTCCATCAGCTTCGGTGCGTCTAGTTTAAGTTAATTACTGCTAGTTATTCTTAGTTAGTTTAGCCAATTCTGAGTGAAATTTGATGAATTTGAGTGACGTACTGATTGCAACGTTCAGGATCAGTTGCGTTTATTTATAGGATTTTAAGATTCTAAAATGGTTATTTATAGGAGTGTTAAAAATCCTTTAGAAATCTCTCTCTGAATATCTGGTTTACTTTTTTTTTCTTTTTCTTACTTTTGTTGCAACAATTTGAAGCAGATGTTATTTAAAGTTGAGTTATTTATATTGAAGTTGATCGATTTTTTTGCAATTTATTTTTTGCTTTCTTTTTCCTCTTTATTATATATATACTTTTTTTTTTAGGGGGGGGGGGGAGCTTATCACGGTAAAGAAGATAATTCAATCAGTGTTTAATTTAGTTTTTGTTTTTTTCTAATCAGTCAATGTGTAACCGACGGAGACTTTTTATAGCCAAATATAAATTCATTGGTTTTCAAATAGGAAAGTCATTGAATAATATTAAGAAGATAAGCAGATATGAAAATGAAATGTAAAAGAGGTTTTCAAATAGGAAAATCATTGAATAATATTAATATGATATGCGAATATGAAAAGTCGACAGTTAGTCTCAATACAAGTTAGTATTCCTATTGATTTTAACTTGTTTTATAATGATACAAAGTGCTCGATTTCATGGGAGTGAATTTAAATCGTGTCATTATAAAAGCATATTTTTTTATTTATATGTTTTATCGTATTAACATGCATGAATTCGCCGTTGAAGTCCAAACACCGGAAAGGCATTATATTATGCAAATGATTTTCGTCAAGATAACTACAGGAAAGCACCATTCTTAACTATGCAAGATGACGTCGTGTGCACATATCACAATTACTGTGTTGTCCATTATGAAAACGTTTCAATATAAAACATCCTATGTAATATAGATAGATAGATAATAAAATATATGCATATATATTGTGCGAAAGTCATCTCAACTATAAACAAGAAACATACACTCATAGTCAGAATACTTAACCGTGAGTGAAACTTCGAAACAGCAACCTAGGATCTTTTCAGGCGTTCGAGACGAAATTCGAATCATGTTTGACAATAATTTCAAAAGTGACCGCACAAAATTTATACCATTCACGCTTTACTTTGAGCAAATAGAACTGTAAGTATCGAACACACACTGTTCTTGTACGTTAAATAACCATTCACCGTGAATAATTACTAAGTACTCCTAAACAGAAAAAAAACGAATGAAATTAATGCCCCAGCTAAGACCAAGAAAATAAAAAATATTGATGTTTCTTAAAAATAAAAAATCGTACCAACCAAAAGCTAGATGACTTGGTCTGAGTTGGTCAAAGGCAAGATAGCTTGGATTAGATTGTCCAGAATGCTTTTAACACAGACTTGCAAACAGACTTGCAAAGTAAAGGTGATGAAAGAAAGTTCTCGGAAGAGGGGAGGGAGAGAAAAAGGGGATAGATGAGTGAAGTTAGAAAGAGAGAGGGGAGAAAGGGAGAGAAAAAAGAATGGAGGAAGTAAAGAAGAGAGAGAGAAAGAGAGGGAGGGAGGGAGAGAGAGAGAGAGAGAGAGAGAGACAGGCAGAAAGGAGACGGGGCAGAGAGAGAAAAAAAACAGATTTGAAAAGTGAAGAAAAAGAAGGGGCAGTGGGTAATGAAAGAAGTGATAAAGATAATAAGAATGAATAATAACAAGAAAAAAACAAGAGACAGAGAAATGGAAAGAAAATAAAGAGGAAAACCAAGAGATAGAATGAGACGGAGAAAAATAAACAAATAAACACTCAAAGAGAAAATAGAAAGATGAAGACGGAGTAAGGCACAGAGAGAGAGATGAAAAAAAAACACGCACATAAAGAGATGAAAGAGAAAAAAGAAGAAAAAAATCTAGATCTAAAAGACGGCGCCTTTCCTACTCACCGTGACCTTGCCCGAGGCTAGACTGGCGACCTGGTACGGCGGCGGAGGGTCAGAGTTCGGGGGAGAAGACACCGGGACGGAGGGCGTGTCGGTCTTGCCCTGGTCACACTGGGTCACGTCCGGTCGGTTGGCGTCGGTGGTCGGGTTGCCCTTGCCGGAGTCGGGGCCGGTGAGGTTGGAGGTGGCTTTGGTTGGAGAAGTGACGGGGTTGGTGGCGGCGGCGGCGACGGCGACGGAGGCGGAGGCGGGGAGGGGCGTCGGAGGGGCTTTGGCGGCGGCGGTGGCGGGGTCGTCCTGTCTGTTCGGCGCGGGCGAAGAGGCCATGGGGTTCTCCGTTACGTTGACGATGTTGGTGGGCCTCGGGTTGTGGCGGTTGGCGGGCGCGCCACCACCGACGCTGGCGGTCGCGGTGGCGGCGGCGGTGGCGGCGGTGGTGGTGGTGGTGGAGGCGGTGTCGGAGGAGAGGGCGTGAGACAGGGGGCGGGAGCGGGCGGGGGGCTGGGCGGCCTCCGTGCGGGCGGCCATGTTGGTGGACAGAGCACTCAGAAGCTCAGCCACCACGCCTACTGCAACACAAAGGAACTATTGAGAGCGCTTCGTTGGCTGAATGCAAGCCGGAAGGGCAATTAATACAAGTAATATCTCTGGCCGCTATATTTAGACACTTTGAACTACTCCGACAAATCCATTACTATTAAGGCATATAATATACTAAGGTGCTAGAGCCATTCCCGCAATACATTGGAACGTTATACTAAAAAAAAAGATAATAAATAAATAAACCTTAATGTAAATTGAATTAATTAATGCTCTTATAATCTCCATCTATAAAACATAAGGCCACGAGACCATGACAATGCAAAACAATTAATGAAAATCAATCATTGTTTAACCTTTCATTACAAAACACTGTGGAAAGCCTTTATTATAACATTATGGGCCGGCGTCTCTTTTTCGATCGATTTAACTTTATAGCTCAATTATGGGCGAGAAACTGAGTGTGATATCGAGCTTATTCACTCGATTTACTCTCTATAGATATTTTTTTTTTTATTCTTCTTTATTGGCATATGTCACAAAACAGCTGGTTTCCTTAATAGCCATAGTTCCCAAACCGAGGAGCGTGAATCACATTGCTAGTCTAAAATGTTGTCAAGTAACCACACACACACACACACACACACACACACACACACACACATAGAGGACTGTGTTTGAGTCATGTTGACGTTATGTTATTGACAATAATATAACCAAATAGCACTACAGAATTCATATGCATAAAAAAAACGACGTAGTGAGAGAGAGAGAAAGACAAGGGATTTCTTAGAAATCTAAAAAGAGCGACATGAAAAAAGTAAGAAAAAAAAAAGACTTTGGGAACAAATGCTTTATAGTTCTTGGCCTATTTGTCTCCCATTTATCATTTTTTTTTATTTTATTTTATCGATTTGATTAAAAGGCAAAATCTTTTCCATATACCGGATGAAAGATGCTAATTGTTTTTTTCTTTCTTTCTTTCTTTCTTTTTCTCTTTCCCAACTTCGAAAATAGGTTAAACAACACCCCCCTCCCCCCCAAACAAACGGACAAAATCCACCGGTTTTTCCTCGAACCTTAAAGAGATACTTGGCAGCTCCGTCTCCGCCACCCTACATGCTACTAAATTCGGCCTATACATAAACAAGAAAATTGGCTTCGGTTCCCTATTCTAGCCCTGATTGACAGCCGCGAGGAGAGCCGGTGATGACGGTTGTAAATTGAGGAAAGCGAATTACAACTCAAGCTGCCTTTGTTTACCATGGCTCATTCCCACGGTGAGGATACCCGCGCACCGTAGGGGAAAGCGGAGAGTGAATTCATTAGCACTGACTTCCGCGCCAATCAAGAAAGTTACCGAAGTCGGAATGGAGTATCATTATATTACAAGTATTTTCCCGAGATGAGGGATTCAAGTTGATCATCTAATAACCGAACCTTTGCCCTTAAAAAAAAGAAGAGGAAAGAAAAAGGAAAAAAAAATCACGATTGTATGAGCAGATTGTTGTGGTGAATGGCGTTTGCTCGGTGAAGATAATCGAAAATAGGAAAGGAAAAGGAAAAATGAAAAAAAAAAAACGTTAACGGCTGTTGGGAAAATATGTAACGGCGAGGCAACCTTTGGTGAATAAGATATCCGTCGGTTGAGTGAAATGCGTGAAGGTTGAGTGACTGTGAGCCCAAAAATGGAGGCATCGCTGATAGAAAAGTGACAACCAGAAGAAAATATTGAGGAATTACCAGTAGGACGAAAAAATATGTAAGATACGTATTTTGCATAACCATAAAAAAGACAAGAAAACTTTTTTAAAATCTAAACCAACACCATACTTGATAATTCATTTATTACCATCATTCAGATCTAATTCCCCTACCATATCAATCCCATTTATTAAGTAAACAACCGCCCTATGAAAACATTTTTCATTAGTAAAGCGCCCCTGCCGTATTTCCTTCAGGATATTTTCCCTCCGCTCGGCGTCTGAGCCTCCAAAAGTTAAGATCAAAGGCCCTTTATATAGGATGAACGCCGATATCCTATTACATCATGATTATGACCCTGATTGGCCTTGCGTATTCCCAGGTCAGCACCAATGCTCAGTTCCAGTCAACAGTAGGTCCATTAAGTTGACGTCAGTTAGATTCGCTTGTAAGTATTCGAGGTTGAAGTCTTCGGCATCGTATTGATGTTGTTGAACTTGGCTGGAAATAAGTTTTTTTTTTTATATATGTTATTATTATTTCCATAACTTTTACGAATATCATTCCCTCCCTCACCCTCCCTTATACCAAACGACCTACCCCCATAACAAGAAACACCCTTATAATAATAGTAAAAAATAAAAATAAAAATAACAACCACACTTTAAAAAACAACATATATATAACAAGAACTCAACTCAAAACCATCCAAAAAATTTGTAATAGGAATGCGGCGAGGCTTCCTGAATGAACAGCCTTATCAATATGGCAAATCCAGTTTCCCAGCGAAACGCCGACCCTCTCTTCGCTCCCTGTAATTTCCCGCCAAAAGGACGAAGCCAAACAAGTGACGATCGCGGGGGCCTGTGTGCTTAACTTGCCAGAGTCGACCGCAACGTCTCTTGACATATCATTTTTATTTCAACATTTTCTTTGATCTCGGTATTCTGATTAGATGCGTATTTTATATATTTATTTTATTTGTTTTTTCTTCTTTCCTTTTCTTTTCGTTTTTCTTCTCTTTTATTCTATTTTATTTTATTATTCTTTTGCGAGTGGGATGAGTATGTCAGATATGTGTATTTTACTTTATTTTATTTTTTTCCCCTTCGAGTGGTTGAGTATTTAGATTATACATGAATTTTTAAATGTTTTTTTATTTCATTTCTATATTATATTTATCTTTCTTGCGACTGGCTGAGGGAAATGTCGTATGAGAGATATAAATACACATATTTCGTACAGCGGTAAAAAAAAAAAATGTTTTGTTGATAAGAAATTGAATGGATCCTTTCGCAGGTCACTTTATAAGTGTACCGATGTGTCAAATAGTGGAAGGGGAGAGAGAGAGAGAGAGAGAGAGAGAGAGAGAGAGAGAGAGAGAGAGAGAGAGAGAGAGAGAGAGAGAGAGAAAGAGTGAGAGAAAGTAAGAGTAAGAGAGAGTAAGAAAGAGAGAGAGAGTAAGAGTAAGAGAGAGTAAGAAAGAGAAAAAGAGCGAGAGAAAGAAAGAGACAGAGAGAGAGGGGGGGAGCAAAGAGACGGAGAGAGTGAAAAAGAGAGATATGAGAGAGGAAGAGAAAGAGAGACGAGGAAAGGAGGGAGTGAAAGAAATACAGAAAGAGACAGAAACAAAAGGAGGGAAGGACGGAATAAAGACGAAAGACAGAAATATAGTAAATTTTAACGAGGAAAAAACATAAATAAATAAAACGAGTGGGAAAGGGTAGGAGAAGAAGAGAGAAAGTGACAAAGGGAGCAAAGGATAAGAGAGAGAGCGAGAAGGTGAAAGAGGAAGAGAAAAAACAGAATAAATAATACACGCACAGATAAAACAAAGAGAAAAAAAACGTTAGAAGCGGAGGGAGAGAGAGAGAGAGAGAGAGATTGAGAGAAAGAGAGAGAAGAGAGATAAAGAGACGGACAATACAGAGAGAGAGCAATAATTGAAATACATAAATGGATAGATAAATTAAATAAATGAATAAATAAATAGATAAATAAAGGAATAAATAAACAGATAAATAAAGGAATAAAAGCACAGATGAATAAATGAATAAATAAATAGATAAATAAATAAATTAATTAATTAATTAAAAAAAAAAGAAAAAACGAATAAATGAGTAAAGGAATAAAGAAAGAAAGAAAGGAAGAAAGAGACGAATAAACTAAAGAATAAATTAATAAACAGATAAATTAATAAAGAAAGAAAGGGACGAAAAAAATAATGAATGAATAAAGAAAGAAAGAGACGAATAAACGAATAAACAAATAAAGAAAGAAAGAATGAGACGAATAAATGAATAAATAAATGAATAAAGAAAGAAAAAGACGAATAAACGAATAAAGAAAGAAAGAGACGAATAAATGACGTAATAAAGAAAGAAAGAAACGAATAAATAAACAAAGACCCGAAGAAACGAATACACGAACGATCGACTAAATAAACCAAGAACCCGAATAAACGAATGACTAAACAAAGCAAACCCGAGACAGACAGACCGCCCCCCTCTGAGACCCCCCCCCCCGTCGGCCCGTCCGTCGGTCCGTCGGCGCTAAAAGCATTCCAGATTGGCAAGATGGCGTCCTCGGCACAGCTGATTAGGGACAATGTTTTAAAACCAAAATGAAAACTCAATTAGAAGCTGTGGCGCCCGTGAATTTATCCGCGAGATGGGAGCCGGTGGGCGGAATTGGAAGCGAGGGAGGGAGGAGGGAGGGAGGGAAGGGAGGGAGAAAGGGAGGGAGGAAGGGGAGGGATGGGAAGGGAGGGAGGGAGAGGAGGAAAGGGAGGAAGGGAGGGAGGGAAGGGAAGGGAGAGGGGGAGACAGACAGACAGGGAAAGAGGGAGAGAGACAGACAGACAGACAGAGAGAAAGAGAGACAGACAGAGAGAGAGAGTAAGAAAACATAGAGACAGATTTAGGAGCGAGAGAGGGATTGATGGAAGAAGGTAAGAAAGGAAGAAGGAAGGAAGGGAAAAAGAAAGACAGACAGAAACAGAGAGTGGTAGAAAATGGCATCGTAAGAAAAATATCGCGGCAAAAATAGCGACAGGGGAAAACTGATTTATTAAAAGCACGAAACAAAAATACACAGGCAGAAGAGGGAATAAGGGAAAAACAACAGCAGGCAGAAGGTTGAAATAATAAAACTACTGACGGAATTACGAAACTTGGCACGGTAAAAAAAAAGAAAAAAAAAAAAAAGAAAAGAAAAGAAAAGAAAAAAAATGATAGAGAGAGAGAGAGAGAGGGGAGAGAGAGAGAGAGAGAGAGAGGGGAGAGAGAGAGAGAGAGAGAGAGAGAGAGAGAGAGAGAGAGAGAGA